ATTTCCCATTGAAAAAAGTAAAACATAGACAGTCTCAGACTACTGGTTCTAGTGTCTGAATTTTTGTTTTTGTCTTAAACTTGAAATCCAATTCTTGTTTATTTTGATGAAAAAAATACACCATAGGCAATGAAAAATGTAATGTAAAACATATCCAAACACAAAATTTAGATTGATTGTTGTAAATACTACTTCAAGGCTATTTAACTGGTATTACGTCTTTTAAAGTGCCACTTTTCCAAAGTTGAAACAAAGGTGAAATCGAAAAACCCAGTTGTAGCTACATATATAAAGTCGTGGCTACATCTGTCGATCTGTCTGTCTGCTACTCTGCTAGCAGAAACACAGAAAACGAGTAGACCTATATACCAGATGTGTTGGGCTGGACCAAGGACCATGCTAATGGAACTATGGAGCTGTATACACGGCGCATGCGCAGCAATGTGTATTATGTATTATTGTATTGAGAAAAAAAATCGCACATTCCACATTTGACAAAAATAATTATTTTACCTGCTATACATAAAAATATGACAATTTGCAACTATTCAACATAAACGACAATTACATTGCAAACGATCGATATCAATTTTGATAGTATAGACACACTGCAAAGGGTGGAGGAGATACTTTTTATATGTCTCTCGCACGACGGTATCAAATTTATTTTTTTTTGCAAAACTGCTTGATCCGACAGTTTTTTACAAAGCGGTTGCAAACGTTGCTAACGATTCCACAGTTTTGGGTATTTTTTTCAAGTCGAAATTAGCAAGTTGCTCGCGGAGTTCGCAGAGCTTAATACTGTGTCACTAGTTCCTTGTACTTCCTGCTAATGTAACCGTGCGTCTAACTTGCGTTCAAGAAAAAAAAATCAATGTAATTTTATGTATTTTTCTTATTTTCTTTTTTGTAATAATTGCTTCTGCCATACAGATGTCTATTATCCTTGGCATTTAAATAAATCTTGTTAAATTCAAATTCTCTCTCACGTTGCTAACGGTGGGGAGGCTGCATCAGCTGGTTTTAGTTTACTGACCCCCACCGTTGGCAAAGTGGGAGAGAGATAGATACCCACGTTCGATGTTGTGTCTCTTCCTACTTGTGCTTCAGCACCGTACACAAGAAGGAGCAGTCTATACTTCTTATATGTCTATGATTTTGACCCTCGGCCCTCGGCTCGGGCTTCGGGCCTCAGCTCTTGGTTTATTATATCTTCATGGATGTGCCCAGCTCCACTCTATACGTGATGCTACATAATTGCACATCCTTAGGTATGGATGCAAAAAAAAAAAAAAATTATTTTTTGAATCAAAGAAAAGACTTTAAAAACAAAAAACGCTTGTCATTAGAGAGTGGAATGCAAGGTTTTTTTTGTACTTGTAATAATCGAGAAAAAGATTGTGTACGTGAAGCTTATAATATCTTAAATGAATATTCAGAAGTTCAGAAAATTGATTTCAAATACGTGAGTATGTGATGTTTTTGAAATTGATCACTTTAGATAGATCAATTGTATCAAATAAATTCCAAATAAAGTGGCAACCAAATTATCCCAGAAAAATTTTTTAGTTAAATAGAAATGGAGTAAACTGCACAAATAAACTGGATCAAAATAATTGGACTGAACAAATTTTAGAAAAGGAAACAGTTGTTAACTACGAAGATACAGATTTAAAGGCAAATGCCGTAATAGCAGGACGTAAAGAAGTCAATGAAGATATCACCGATGCCTTAAGCAAAGAAATATCCGAATTAAAGGCAGAAGCTACTGAATTAGAATTAAAAAAAAAATTTCAGGTAAACAAATTTCTGTGATTGTAACATTGGCTTATACGTTTAGTATATGGGTGCACGATTGCTCAAGAGTGGTGGGCAAAGGATTGAAAAAGTTGTGTAATGACATTCTTTTTTGGGTTAAAGTGTAGTTTACGACTCCTTACGAGAAGTTAGCTTCAGAACTTGCAGTGCTACCACTAACACAGCGCGGGAAATTCAAAATCACTAATGCAGTAAATTTGACTGTTAATGACGAATCAAAAGAAAGCTTCACCTCCACCTGTAAAACTTTTTTTTCTTGTTCACCCATGGTTCACGCACAGTAATAGTTTGGTAATATGGCTCTCTCGCGAGCTTCGCTCGCTCGAGAGCTGTGTTTAAAATAAACAACTCCTATTAAGTACCGACAGAAGAATTACCGACTGCAAATTAACATTCAAATTTACTGCCATAATAATTTAGAATTTTCTGCGTTGTTATGTTGGCAGCATTGCGAGTTCTGCAGTCAACTTCTCATAAGGAGTCATAAAGTACACATCCGCCCTTTTTTATAAGAGAGGATTGTAAAGCTACAAAAATGTCTTAGTATTGCGAAATTAATTATTTTTATTTGGAACATCATTTTTCGTGAGCAGCCCTACTTCCTTTATCAACACATGTATCATTTTTACTGAACATGCATTGAGCAGAGATGAGTAGAGAGATTGCTAACGCCAATGCTACGGCGTGAGATAACTTTTTTCCACTGATCGGGGCGACCTGCTGCGGCCAGCCGTCGAACCAAGGCGCACATTTTTCGAGAGTGCGAGACTCGTATCGAAGAGCGTGCGCCTACAAGAAGAGAAGCGGATTCGCGTGGAAATGAGCATATAGGCGCACATTTTGGCGACACGTAGAAGGAGTATACCGAATGTGTGCCTACGAGGAGAGGAGTGGAAATGTTGACTATTGCTATATATCTGAGCGCACAGCCAAAGCAAGCGACGACATGAGTTTTTCTCTTTTGACTGCAACCGAGTATTTGCTATATATATTTAACTGACTCTTGCTCTCTCGCTCTTGCTTGAATGTTATCTATCAATCTTACATTCGATTAAATCGTGAATTTAAATGCTCATAGTTATATGCACAGAATTCTATATCAAAACATTTTTTTTTTCCGCACGTTAATACTTAATTTGAAATCTAGTATTATTTTGAAAAAATGTTCAGCTAATTTTTTTAAGGATGGCAGTTCAGCTATAACCACTGGTTAATTATTTTTCCTCATCATAATTGTTATGAACTGTAGGACAAGCCCCAGAGGTTATCGATGAACATATGTGACTTTAAGATCTCCTTCCCTCGAAATTTCGACAGCTAAGGAAGTAAAGGCTTATGCCACTACTGGTCTTGTTTTGCTATCTGAGGATCGATTCCAATTGTCGGCAAATTTTTTTTTTTAACGTGATTCATCATTCTAGTTTATTTTCTTTTTATTTATGTTTTATTGAAATTTATGAATTACATTACCAAACCCCTTTTTTCCCTATACATCGAAACATAATTTTTTAATACTAATTATATTAATCAATTTCATAAGCTGATACTTATCGTTAGCATGGCCATTTCAGAATTTCATAATAATAAAATGATTTCTTAGGATATAAGTATAATTCTTACATTTAAAACTCCCAAGAAATCATTAACATCCAAAGTGAGAGACAAAAAATCCTTATACATAATTTTCATTAATTTTTAGTTTTTTTTTT